TGGTGTGGAGGGTCACCTTCAGTTGATGTAGAGCATTACCTTCAGATGGTGTGGAGGGTCACCTTCAGTTGATGTAGAGCATTACCTTCAGATGGTGCTGGAGGGTCACCTTCAGTTGATGTAGAGCATTACCTTCAGAAGGTGTTGGAGGGTCACCTTCAGTTGATGTAGAGCATTACCTTCAGATGGTGTTGGAGGGTCACCTTCAGTTGATGTAGAGCATTACCTTCAGATGGTGCTGGAGGGTCACCTTCAGTTGATGTAGAGCATTACCTTCAGAAGGTGTTGGAGGGTCACCCTCAGTTGATGTACAGCATTACCTTCAGATGGTGTGGAGGGTCACCTTCAGTTGATGTAGAGCAGTACCTTCAGATGGTGTTGGAGGGTCACCTTCAGTTGATGTAGAGCATTACCTTCAGATGGTGTGGAGGGTCACCTTCAGTTGATGTAGAGCATTACCTTCAGATGGTGTGGAGGGTCACCTTCAGATGGTGTGGAGGGTCACCTTCAGTTGATGTAGAGCATTACCTTCAGATGGTGTTGGAGGGTCACTTCAGTTGATGTAGAGATCACCTTCAGATGGTGCTGGAGGGTCACCTTCAGTTGATGTAGAGCATTACCTTCAGAAGGTGTTGGAGGGTCACCTTCAGTTGATGTAGAGCATTACCTTCAGATGGTGTTGGAGGGTCACCTTCAGTTGATGTAGAGCATTACCTTCAGATGGTGCTGGAGGGTCACCTTCAGTTGATGTAGAGCATTACCTTCAGAAGGTGTTGGAGGGTCACCTTCAGTTGATGTAGAGCATTACCTTCAGATGGTGTTGGAGGGTCACCTTCAGTTGATGTAGAGCATTACCTTCAGATGGTGTTGGAGGGTCACCTTCAGTTGATGTAGAGCATTACCTTCAGATGGTGTTGGAGGGTCACCTTCAGTTGATGTAGAGCATTACTTTCAGATGGTGTTGGAGGGTCACCTTCAGTTGATGTAGAGCATTACCTTCAGATGGTGTTGGAGGGTCACCTTCAGTTGATGTAGAGCATTACCTTCAGATGGTGTGGAGGGTCACCTTCAGTTGATGTAGAGCATTACCTTCAGATGGTGTTGGAGGATCACCTTCAGATTGTGTAAATGACCATCTTTAGATTAGTTGAGATAGTACAAAACCTGGTGTTTGACATTAAATAATGCAGAAAAGTGTGTTGTTTGGAAGAATGTAATGCATATATAATGTTAGTGTCTGACAAATTAAGATTTTTGAGTCAAACAAATTATTCCATTTATTGGCCCCAGTGAGCTGTGAGTCTAAAAATAAACCCCCTGAATCTGAGGGAAATCTAGGATTACACATTCAGTGCTTTTGCAGTGTGGAAAACAATGTCACTGAAAGACAGATTATGTATCTTAGATGGTGGAGAAAATTTGGTGTCAGGACACGTAACTAACAGAACCCTGATTTAGTTAAATTCGGCTCCGGGAAACGTTCCAAATTCCTGAAACGTATGCCCTTATTCGATTAAAGCCTTTACTGACAAAAATTCCAAACACCTAATCCTAATGCCCCCCTTTGTACATATCTGCTCGGCTTGGTTGTCGCGTAATAGTTTGTACCTTGTCAAATGATAGAGAGAATAACGACAGGTGATGATTGATGGGATAAGTGCCTGGATGTTATGCGACATGTGACATATTTTCTAAGGAAAGTAATAGCTGAGTAGACGCTGAGATTTAATCACATAAGCTTTACCCTCCTTCTGTGGTAATACGTGATCTCTGCCTTTTCTGACTATGACAGACATGACTTAGGCCAGCAGACGTAAGACGTGATTGCAGGCCTCAGGGAGTAGCTGAAATCACTGAATGTACATAAGCCCTCTAACAGACGCCCGGACCACCGTTATGAAAATTGTGTTACTACTCTCTGATTTACAAGAACGAAGTTTATAGTGGGGAATTTCCGTTAATTTACTAATGTAGCACACGTTACCATCGTTAAGACTATGCTGGGAAAAATCCGATAATAAAATGTAAAGCTATTGTAACGGTTCGAGATAATCAAGTCCAATTCCTTCAGTAGTCGATGGAGTTCCAGTCTAATCACTAGTCCTGCAAAACCTTACCAACTGTCAATACTTGCCTCCAACAGTATTACCAAACCGTTCAAGTCAAACATTGATGCAGAATGTAAATTATCACACATGGCAATTTACAGTTGAATTTGTAAAGCGGTGGTTTTGCAAACCTTCTTAATGTCTTGCACAAATCTACAATCATACATGGGAATGTTTACTGTTCTGTAAAGCTAATATAGATGTGATCCGTTGCGCATTGGCAGATAGTTGGCACCAATCGTCTAAATGTAGCCGATGTTGAATCTACGAGTCTTGCTTAGGGGAACCAATGTGCACACGTCCTTCACACTATAAGTCATGTATTTAAATCGCTTTATCATCTTGCATGTGAATTCTCCCTCCGTGTTTCTCGGCACTAACTTATATATATTTCAGTACGTGTACGCCATGGTCTCTGTGTGTGTACATCTATCATGGCAATGTACAAACGAAAGTGTTCTACACACATGTAAGCCACAACGGATTGTCATGACATGAATTACTTAATGGTAATTGCATTAATTTCAGATTCCTTTACTAAGGATGAGAGGCTTTTCTACATTTACATGAGTGAGTGAGTCTAGTTTTACGCCGCTTTTAACAATATCCCCGCAATATCACGGCGGGGGACACCGGAAATGGGCTTCACATATTGTACCCATGTCTGGAATCGAACTCGGGGCTTCGGCGTGACAAACGAGCGCGTTAACCACTAGGCCACCCCACCGCCCACACTTACATGAACACATGTTTTTTGTGACAGCCGAGCCACTATGGGAAAGTGATGTTTTCAGTTTGTTTAATGTAATAGCTTGTACATAACCCTCGTGTGTAAATAACGTATTGAATCACCATAATAACTGTTCAACATAATTCCGTGCTAGACATTTTAGAAATACACTCAATTAACTTTGTTTGCCATAAGCTTATGAAATCCATACATCGCCAAACATTAAATTAAACTGTTTCTCAACATTGTCAAGTAGTTTACAATAACTTAGTAATCCTCCAAAATTAACACGTAGTAATATTTCTTTAGTAAACCACATTCAGAGATCTGAAGAAAGTTTACCCACCATTTCACACAGCCAGTAACTGCAGCAAGGCAGGTGTATCATATCCACACAACACCGTATTTTTCATCTCTTCCAGGTTTCCTCATCCAATCTCCATCTCTTCCTGGTTTCCTCATCCAGTTTCCATCTCTTTCTGGTTTCCTCATCCAGCCTCCATCTTTTCCTGGTTTCCTCATCCAGTCTCCATCTCTTCCCGGTTTCCTCATCCAGTCTTCATCTCTTCCCGGTTTCCTCATCCAGCCTCCATCTTTTCCTGGTTTCCTCATCCAGTCTCCATCTCCTCCTGGTTACCTCATCCAGCCTCCATCTCCTCCTGGTTTCCCCATCCAGTCTCCATCTCTTCCTGGTTTCCTCATCCAGTCTCCATCTCTTCCTGGTTTCCTCATCCAGTCTCCATCTCTTCCTAGTTTCCTCATCCAGTCTCCATCTCTTCCTGGTTTCCTAATCCAGTCTCCATCTCTTCCTGGTTTCCTCATCCAGTCTCCATCTCTTCCTGGTTTCCTCATCCAGTCTCATCTCCTCCTGCCTCATCCAGTCTCCATCTCTTCCTGGTTTCCTCATCCAATCTCCATCTCCTCCTGGTTTCCTCATGCAACCTCCATCTCTTTCTGGTTTCCTCATCCAGCCTCCATCTCCTCCTGGTTTCCTCATCCAGTCTCCATCTCTTCCTGGTTTTTTCCTCATCCAGCCTCCATCTCTTCCTGGTTTTCTCATCCAGCCTCCATCTCTTCCTGGTTTCCTCATCCAGTTTCCATCTCTTTCTGGTTTCCCCTCATCCAGCCTCCATCTCTTCCTGGTTTCCTCATCCAGTTTCCATCTCTTTCTGGTTTCCTCATCCAGCCTCCATCTCTTCCCGGTTTCCTCATCCAGTCTTCATCTCTTCCCGGTTTCCTCATCCAGCCTCCATCTTTTTCCTGGTTTCCTCATCCAGTCTCCATCTCTCCTCCTGGTTACCTCATCCAGCCTCCATCTCCTCCTGGTTTCCCCATCCAGTCTTCATCTCTTCCTGGTTTCCTCATCCAGTCTCCATCTCTTCCTGGTTTCCTCATCCAGTCTCCATCTCTTCCTAGTTTCCTCATCCAGTCTCCATCTCTTCCTGGTTTCCCTAATCCAGTCTCCATCTCTTCCTGGTTTCCTCATCCAGTCTCCATCTCTTCCTGGTTTCCTCATCCAGTCTCATCTCCTCCTGCCTCATCCAGTCTCCATCTCTTCCTGGTTTCCTCATCCAATCTCCATCTCCTCCTGGTTTCCCTCATGCAACCTCCATCTCTTTCTGGTTTCCTCATCCAGCCTCCATCTCCTCCTGGTTTCCTCATCCAGTCTCCATCTCTTCCTGGTTTCCTCATCCAGCCTCCATCTCTTCCTGGTTTCCTCATCCAGCCTCCATCTCTTCCTGGTTTTCTCATCCAGCCTCCATCTCCTCCTGGTTACCTCATCCAGCCTCCATCTCTTCCTGGTTTCCTCATCCAGTCTCCATCTCTTCCTGGTTTCCTCATCCAGCCTCCATCTCCTCCTGGTTTCCTCATCCAGTCTTCATCTCTTCCTGGTTTCCTCATCCTGTCTTCATCTCTTCCCGGTTTCCTCATCCAGTCTCCATCTCCTCCTGGTTTCCTCATCCAGTCTCCATCTCTTCCTGGTTTCCTCATCCAGTCTCCATCTCTTCCTGGTTTCCCTCATCCTTCCTGGTTTCCTCATCCTGTCTCCAGTCCTGGTTTCCCTCATCCAGTCTCCATCTCTTCCTGGTTTCCTCATCCAGTCTCCATCTCTGGTTTTCCTGGTTTCCTCATCCAGTCTCCATCTCTTCCTAGTTTCCTAATCATCCATCTCCTCCTGGTTTCCTCATCCAGTCTCCATCTCTTCCTGGTTTCCTCATCCAGTCTCCATCTCTTCCTGGTTTCCTCATCCAGTCTCCATCTCTTCCTGGTTTCCTCATCCAGTCTCCATCTCTTCCTGGTTTTCTCATCCAGTCTCCATCTCCTCCTGGTTTCATCATGCAGCCGCCATCTCTTTCTGGTTTCCTCATCCAGCCTCCATCTCCTCCTGGTTTCCTCATCCAGTCTCCATCTCTTCCCGGTTTCCTCATCCAGTCTCCATCTCCTCCAGGTTTCCTCATCCAGTCTTCATCTCTTCCTGGTTTCCTCATCCTCATCCGTCTCCCACACATATCTACACAAAAGCATATGTATACGTATAGATAAGTATGACTTTCACGACCAATTATTATCTGACAATGGTGGTTTGGAGTAAACCAATTCATCACTACTGCACATACAGTGATTAAAGATATAGATGCAAGGTTTGTTAGACTTTCGTCGTGCAAGCATGGTCACAGGAAGATCGATATCTTAGCGTCTGTGGGGTCTCATATGATGTAATCAAGCTCCATAAACGATAGCATCTCGGCGCAGAGATAACAATATTCTTATGAATGTGATGTTGATATATGTAATTGTAATAAATGCGTACTGGAAAACAGACAACCGGACTGTCTGGCCCACGCGTTATTTATGGAACACAAGACGTCGTCAGCTCGAGATAGTGTTTCAAAGCATTACGACGTTTGAAGCACTAGAGTTTTTATAAAAGAAACGGAATAACGAGAATGTACTCATACACGTATTTCTGTAACCTAATCCAGAGCTAATATCCTCTATTGGTCTGTATTGTCATAAAAATGATATTTAACAATGATAAATAAAGAGTTTCATATTCCTGAGTTATCGAAATAAACGATCTCCTAATTACAATTTCTAAACTTACGTCAGAACATCGCTATATATTATCAGGAGGGAATCACAAATTAGTTCACCATGTCCAACTAAATGAATGTTTCTCCATTTGAATTTGATGGATCTCGTTGCTGCATGCATGAGGACGTGCTCCGTCTTTATTGTTACGCTAAAACCGAACACAGACAGCGTTTTTTTCCACAAGGTTAAGGATATTGAAGGCGCTTGCTTTGCCTCATCGAACTTTCACTGTGTCGGTAACCTTTCTGCACGGTGTTGACTCAATTCCAAAGGTATGCATGTGTTTGCGTACGTATGTACGTGTGTGCGTGCGTGCGTGTGTGTGTGTGTGTGTGTGTGTGTGTGTGTGTGTGTGTGTGTGTGTGTGTGTGTGTGTGTGTGTGTGTGCATGTGTGTGTGTGTATGTGTGTGCTTGAGAGTTTGTCCTGATCATGAGTTAACCAGAAGAACGTAAAGGATCAAGAGGATGTAAGTAGATAAGATAGTGAGTGTGCGTGCCCTGTCTATCTAAATGATTTACAAGATGGTTTCAAAGGTTCATAAGTTGATCAAACTAACTATGCAACGCTTAATTATTTATTCCAATAACGTGTGTGCGCTTGTGTGCACGTGTTTGTGTCCTGTCTGCCTGCATGAGGGGCGATGGGGTAGCCTAGTGGTAAAAGCGTTCGCTCGTCACGCCGAAGGTCCGGTTTCGATTCCCCACATCGGTACAACTTGTGAAGCTCATTTCTGGTGTCCCCCGCCGTGATATTGCTGGAATATTGCTAAAAACGGCGTAAAACCATACTCAGCCAGTCAGCCAGTCAGCCTTCATGATTTAGAACAAGGGCTGTTGCAAAGGGTTGTAAGTACATACAATAAAACTATGCATCGCTGAAATATCAAACTAAGAAGTCCGATGTATTTGCTAGATAGTTCGGATATTGGAGAGTAGCCATCTGTCAAAATGACAACAGTATGCTCCACATACACAACAAGCAACACAATGGCAATGACGGCAGCAGTCAGCAGGCAACAAAGCCTTCACATAAAACCGGAACAAATATAGTGTTTTATTATCTCAACTAGCAGCGTTAATATAAAAAGGAGTACTTTGAATGAATAGATAGAGGCCATGCCTAGGTATATATTACAGAAACTGCGCCTTAGGGTAGCACCAGCTCTTTACGTGTATGAACATGCGTGTGCGAGAGATAGATATGCATGTACCAAGAGCACAATGCGCACGTAAAGCGATATCACGTTAAAAGTGTAATTACTTTAAGACTGCGTTAAGAGCTCGCAGAGACGAATATTATAAAGTGCAAGGTTTTCCTAGTTACACGAGTACCAGAGGCTGGGGACGGAGGGGGCAGGCCCAATCAGGGAACAGCTTGACGACGTACTGACATGTCTGCCTGGAGTTAACTTAATTCCAGTTGATTACAATGTTTCTCCTTACTGAATCCGACTCTGGGAGAGCTTTGGGGAATCAAGTTAAACAGCCATTTTACACTCCCTAGACCTTAATGTCAGTCTCCTTATCTCAAGGGGAAAGCAATTTCCTCAAGTGATTGGTAATTGGAGATCAGTAGCAAGCTGACCATCACAGAGGAGCGAGCGTGTCAGGCACGACGGTACTTGTGAACTGTGTTTAATGACAGTCAGTTTTGCACGCTCTTGGGTCGGCGACAAATGCTAATTATTTTGTCAGGCCCGTTACCTATCTCACAGTACTTCTTTGAAGTATTTCATCGAAATCTGAGGTCGACCTGTTCATTATTGGTCTCCTAGTAACATTGTTTACATATATCCAGTGCATTGATTTGGAGATGAGTCTAAACTCACTTTTTAAAGAGAAAGAGAGGTTAAGATGAAAACTAGAATGGAGCCTACAAGTCCGAGATGCAAAATGGCAAACAACACACATTCAACGAATCTTGGTTTCTACGTCATTCCGACAGACAATAAACACGCCCTGGTGAGTAACAGCATACTCCCCTTATTGGCTGGTGTATATCATGTCTCCCTGACTGGTGTATATCATGTCTGCCTGACTGGTGTATAGCATGTCTCCTTGGCTGGTGTATATCATGTCTCCCTGACTGGTGTATATCATGTCTCCCTGACTGGTGTATATCATGTCTCCCTGACTGGTGTATATCATGTTTCCATGACTGGTGTATATCATGTCTCCCTGACTGACATATATCATGTCTCCCTGACTGGTGTATACCATGTCTCCTTGGCTGGGGTATATCATGTCTCCCTGACTGGTGTATATCATGTCTTCCTGACTGGTGTATATCATGTCTCCCTGACTGGTGTATATCATGTCTGCCTGACTGGTGTATAGCATGTCTCCTTGGCTGGTGTATATCATGTCTCCCTGACTGGTGTATATCATGTCTCCCTGACTGGTGTATACCATGTCTCCTTGGCTGGTGTATATCATGTCTCCCTGACTGGTGTATATCATGTCTTCCTGACTGGTGTATATCATGTCTCCCTGACTGGTGTATATCATGTCTGCCTGACTGGTGTATATCATGTCTCCTTGGCTGGTGTATATCATGTCTCCCTGACTGGTGTATATCATGTCTCCATGACTGCTGTATACCATGTCTGCGTGACTGGTGTATATCATGTCTCCCTGACTGGTGTATATCATGTCTTCCTGACTGGTGTATATCATGTCTCCCTGACTGGTGTATATCATGTTTCCCTGACTGGTGTATATCATGTCTCCCTGACTGGTGTATATCATGTCTCCCTGACTGGTGTATATCATGTCTCCCTGACTGGTGTATCATGTCTCCCTGACTGGTGTATATCATGTCTGCCTGACTGGTGTATATGCATGTCTCCTGACTGGTGTATATCATGTCTCCCTGACTGGTGTATATCATGTCTCCCTGACTGGTGTATATCATGTCTCCCTGACTGGTGTATATCATGTCTCCCTGACTGGTGTATACCATGTCTCCCTGACTGGTGTATATCATGTCTCCCTGACTGGTGTATATCATGTCTTCCTGACTGGTGTATATCATGTCTCCCTGACTGGTGTATATCATGTCTCCCTGACTGGTGTATATCATGTCTGCCTGACTTGTGTATATCATGTCTCCCTGACTGGTGTGTATATCCCTGACTGGTGTATATCATGTCTGCCTGACTGTATATCATGTCTCCCTGACTGGTGTATATCATGTCTCCTTGGACTGGTGTATATCATGTCTCCTGACTGGTGTATATCATGTCTCCCCTGACTGGTGTATATCATGTCTCCCCTGACTGGTGTATATCATGTCTGCCTGACTGGTGTATATCATGTCTCCCTGTGTATATCATGTCTCCCTGACTGGTGTATATCATGTCTCCCTGACTGGTGTATATCATGTCTGCCTGACTGGTGTATATCATGTCTCCTGACTGGTGTATATCATCATGACTGGTGTATATCATGTCTGCCTGACTGGTGTATATCATGTCTCCATGACTGGTGTATATCATGTCTCCCTGACTGGTGTATATCATGACTGTATTATATCATGTCTGACTGGTGTATATCATGTCTCCATGACTGGTGTATATCATGTCTCCCTGACTGGTGTATATCATGTCTCCTTGGCTGGTATATATCATGTCTCCCTGGCTGGTATACATCATGTCTCACTGCCTGGTGTATATCATGTCTCCCTGACTGGTGTATATCATGTCCCCTGACTGGCCTGGCTGGTATATCATGTCTCACTGCCTGGTACAGTGTACATCAGTATGTTATGACAATATGTGAGTCACGACATGTGAGTCACGACAATGTGATGCTGATACAATGTACATCAACTGACAATATGTGAGTCACGACCAGTATGTAATGTTGATACAATGTACATCAACTGACAATATGTGAGTCACGACAAGTATGTGATGCTGATACAATGTACATCAACTGACAATATGTGAGTCACGACCAGTATGTAATGTTGATACAATGTACATCAACTGACAATATGTGAGTCACGACCAGTATGTTATGTTGATACAATGTACATCAACTGACAATATGTGAGTCACGACCAGTATGTTATATTGATACAATGTACATCAAGTGACGATATGTGAGTCATGACCAGTATGTTATGCTGATATAATATACATTAACTGACAAAATGTGAGTCACGACCAGTATGTTATGCTGATGCAGTGTACATCAAGTGACAATATGTGAGTCACGACCAGTATGTTATGCTGATACAATGTACATCAACTGACGAGATATGAGTCACGACCAGTATGTTATGCTGATGTAATGTACATCAACTGACGATGTGTGAGTCACGACCAGAATGTTATGCTGATACAATGTACATCAACTGACGATATGTGAGTCATGACCAGAATGTTATGCTGATGTAATGTACATCAA